GTGCCCCCCTGCCTGTTCAGATAGGAGACCACTGTGGTGTTGTCTGAGCGCACCATCACGTGTCTCCCCTGCAGCTGAGGGGCAAAGTGCAGCAGTACTCTGTGCACTGCCTCCATCTCCAGCAGGTTGATGTGACGGGCTGAGTCCGACCAGCAGCCTCCTACAGAGCTCTGGCCGAGGACCCCGCCCCATCCTTCGAGCGACGCGTCCGTGAACACCTCGGCGTGAGACACAGCGCAGGCCAGAGTCACTCCGTCCCGCAGTAGACCCGGAGTGAGCCAGAACCTGATGTCCGATGCTGCCCCTTGGGGAACCCAGATCAGCCTCCCCCCGTCCCGGGAGGGGTGAAGCCTGAGGCGCGAGAACCACCTCTGAAAATTTCTCATGTGGAGCAGGCCTAGCCGCACCACAGCATGAGCCGCTGCCATCATCCCCAGCAGGGACCTGAGGCGCCGAGCGGGAACTCTGGGGCCCGCCAGAACCTCCCGGGCCAGACGGGTAATATTCGTCCGTCTGTCCCACGGACAATGCAGCACGGAATATCACAGAGTCTAGCTGCAGACCGAGGTAAATCATGCGTTGGGCTGGCTGCAGCTTGCTCTTCTCCCTGTTCACCACAAAGCCCAGACGCTGTATGTGGGACAAGACCCATTGCGTGTGGCTCACGGCCACTTCCCTGGATGGGGCCAGTATTAACCAATCGTCTATATAGGTCAATATTCTTACCCCGGCACGTCTGATCGGCTCCAGAGCCGCTTCCACACATTTGGAAAAAGTGCGAGGCGCGAGAGCGTACCCGAAAGGGAGACGGCAGTACTCGTAATTCCTCTCTCCCACTGCGAAGCGCAGAAATCTCCTGTGTTCTGGCACTATGGGTACGTGGAAGTATGCGTCTGTCAGGTCTATGGATGTCATCCAGTCTCCTTCCCTGACACACTCGAGGAGCTGCCTTGTGGACAGCATCCGAAACTGCCGTTTGGAAATGCACTCGTTTAACACGCGCAGATCCAGAATGGGACGCACCCCGCCTGATTTCTTTGGCACCAGAAAGTAAGGGGAGTACAGCCCCCTGGTGGCGTCCTGCGGGTCTACCTCCACTGCTGCGCCTCGACTCAGCAGGGAGGAGACCTCTGCTTCCAGTGCCTCTGTCGATCCCCGTACCTGAGAGCGTACTGCCCGTACGCCTCGGAATGGTGGTGGCTTTCGGAAAAATTGCAGAGCGTAACCTCTGCGCAGAGTTTTCTCCAGCCAAACATCTGACAGTAAGCCCTGCTCCTTCCAGATGTCGTAGAAATCTGTGAGGGGCGGAACGGGAGCTGGAACACGAGACGTCATGGCCCCGCCCCCTCCTGGTGTTCCTAGCAGGGAGGGGGGGTGGCTGAAAGGGCCGGGGGGGCCCCTGCGTCACACCGTGAGTGCCGAGGGCGGTCACGTGTTCTGCAGGTCCGACGTCATAAGTACGGGACTGCTCACCACACGTGACCCGGCTGCTGCTGCGCCCCCCCCTGGCTCTTGCCTCATGGAGGGGGGGGCGAGCCCCTGCATCGGGAAACCCCGTGTTAGCATTGTAGCTCTGCTCATCACGCGTGACACGGCTGCTGCGCCCCCCCTTGGCTCTTGCCTCATGGAGGGGGGGAAGAGCCCCTGGATTAGGAAACCCCGTGTTAGCAATGTAGCTCTGCTCATCACGCGTGACACGGCTGCTGCGCCCCCCCTTGGCTCTTGCCTCATGGAGGGGGGGGAGAGCCCCTGGATTGGGAAACCCCGTGTTAGCCTTGTAGCTCAGAGATGCTAACACGCTAGCGCCCGGAGCACACACATTAGCACTTATCAGATCCCTCCGCCTGCCCTCTCTCCGGGAGGGCAAAACATGAACCCGTGAATCGGAGCTCGTGGTCTGCACAGCGCGCTGCACGCCCTTCTCTGGGGGCTGCAGGCCTGGCGGAGCCACGTTATATGCTCGAGAAGTAACACAAAACAGAATTCAAATCATTTGACATGTTACATACCCCCAAATGAGACTCAGACAGCGAGTACTGGTGAAATGCCGGACGGCCTTTATTGAAAGAGTTTTTACCACCCCGACCTCCTCTACCGTAGGGAGGCCGTCGATGGGTGTGTTGGTCCCGCGAACCTCCCGTGTGCCTGTCTGGGCCCGGGGGTCTCGCCGCTGGGGAACGATGGACCACGGAGCGTGGATATGGTCCGGGGCGCTTGCCAGGCGAGCGCTCCCTGCCTCTGTCTCGGCTCCGCGCTGGTGGGCGGGCCTCGCGTCTCGTAGCTAGGTGTTTTGCTAGGCTAGCCGAGTCCTTAGCCGCGCTGTCCAGCCTCGTCATCAGCGTCTGCATCTCCGGACCGAAAGAGCGACGTCTGGGAGATGGGCAGGTCCAGCAGCTGCCTCTTCTCCGCCTCTCTGAGGTTCACCGCCCCCAGCCAGAGGTGTCTGGCCCCGACCTGGGCTGCTGCCATAGAGCGGCCGCCATCGACAGCTAGCGCTTGGCACATGCGCAAGATCGCTGCTGAAGTGGTCCTCGCCTGGGCTAAGGTGTCTCCACTGAGTGCCTGGTCAGAGGAGAGAGACCTATCCAGGGCCCCGGTGATGAAAGCCATGTTGTTCGCCACCGCGACGACCTGAGCCGCATTGGCGTAACATCTGTCATGCATAGCCAGAGACATCCTATCCCGCTCGGAGGGAAGGAGAGGTCTGGTGCTGGGCCACACGGATGAGGAGGGGTGCAGGGCCGCCCGAACCGAGTCCTCGATGTCCGGGACCCCGCCTGTCCAGGACCAGTCCTGCACGTTGCAGTACATGCCATACCCCAAAGCGGGCCTCTTGGCCGCTAGGGGTTTTGGCCACTCACGTGTCGCGTAATGGACGATCGGGTCCATACGCGGGCACAACGTGGGCTGGGCTCTCCTCCTCCCTCGAGGGGCTGCGTACCCAGAGGTGAAGTCCTCCACCCTCTGGTTCGGTTGCGGTGGCAGGGGGGCATCCATGATGGCCGCCGCCGTGGCGTAGAGCCCAGGCATGTGGTCCAGCGGGAAGCGGTCCGGCTCCGGGTTGGACACCACCTCGTCCAGCGTGAGGAGAGAGCCGACCTCCGACACCTCTCCGTCCTCGCAGTCACCCCACTCCGCGGGCACAGGTGGAATGTCGAGGGGGGCCCAGTCAATCTCAGACTCCTCGTCCTTAGAGGAGTCCGGACGGGGCGCTGTAGCGGCGAAGAACGCGCGCCTGCGTTCACTCTCCTCCCTGGGGAGAGCGACACACGAGGCGCAGGTGGCGCTCAACGCCGCATGGCCCGCACCCAGGCACATGAAGCAGCTGGAGTGCTGGTCCTTGCGTTGGAGCTTGCCCCGACAGGTCGAGCAACGACGACGTCCGACGCCGGATGGCGAAGGGGAACTCGGACGTGCATCAGAAGACATCTTTCTTTCTCAGGTAACGAATGTAGATCTCAAACGGCGCCAGAGTGAAAGAGGGGGTGCGGCCTTGTGCAGGGGCATTTATAGAGGAAGGTGGCTGGTGATTGGAGCAAATTATTTTGATCTCTCTGGCGTCTGTGACCTGGGGGTCACGTGATATCCCACTAGCGAAGTCCTAAGGGACGTAGCACCATGACGTAGAAGGTTTTATTCATATTGCAGAGTTACGCCTGCACGATTTAGGTAAGTGGTAAAATGGTCTGAGATAATATCATTTTTGACCTGGTTACAAATGAACGTAATATGCTAGTAACTGCTAGGTGATCTGAGACAAGTCATTGTATGTCCATTTTCGAATCAATGTATTAGAATAGTATAACTTAAGATATCTAAATAAAATTTTAAATCGGACCTTTAAAGATATCTAAATAAGCAAAATTGAACTTGGACATTTAAAGATCTCTAAATAAGCAAAATTTGGAATTGGACATCGTACAAAATCGTAATAAAAGCTAAAAATGTAAGCTTTATGTTTTGTATGGAATGCCATTTTTTGTGGGTCCTTTGTCCTGGGTGTTTTTTCTGTTTTATGTGTTTTAAGCTTAAACTTAACTGACAAAACAAACTCACTAACTAGCAAAATTTTAAAGCTTCAGTGAGCTTTTTCAATTTTTGGGTAAACTAGTTAATTTGAATAGCATAGATCTGGGAAGCAGAGAGAGAGAGGAGTCAGTTTCAGAGGGGAAGAGAAAATTGAATAAGAGGCAAAAATAATGATTTATGTTTAAAATGTCACAAGAGGGGACATTTGGAAGAGATTTTGCAGAAAAAGCTGAGTATGTTGGCAGAAAGATTAAGGAAGTAGTAAAGGATTATAGTAAAGTTAACACCAGGTTTATAATTAATACTTGATTTTAAAATCACTTTGAAACTATCAACATGTTTTCATTGACTTTTCTAGGTTTAAAAGTATCATTAACTTTTAAGTTTGGTTTTTGAAAATTATTAACAAATGTGTTTTTTTTTTTTTTTGTTTAAGAAAAAACACCTCCGCGTTCACTGAGGCTTCGGAGACGTGATGCATCTTATTATTATAGACCCATGATGTAGTTCAGACCATCGCGTTTTGACACAGTTTGCTTTGTGATCCTGTCATGAGGTGGATCTAAAACAAGTACGTATTTATAACACCAGCAGCTTGATAAAACATCTGAAAACTCACCACCACCATGGATCTATAAGTACTGCACCTTTGCGAGCACCAGCGGTATTTCTTTGTACCATTTGTATGAGTGGAATATGACTGGCTCTTATTGTTGACTGCAAATACAACTGCTAAAATGTTTAATTGTTAAAGCATTTTCTTATTGTTGAAATAAGAAATAAAACATTTTAAATTTCAGTTGCCTTAGTTTTATGAATTCCCAGGGAGGACACAATGTACTACTCGTATCTGTATTCGGTATCCGCAAGTACTCAAACTAAGGTACTTTTTGAATAAAGTGGTATCGGTATCCCGCGTTCAAAGCATTACTGCTCAGAGTCCGGAACCTTCATTCGTGTCCCTGTTTCAGCACGGACTATTATTCACACACTCACGATGACTGCTGTTGTGGAATCACATGTGCAGAGTTCGGGTGAGTTTAGGCAATTATAAGTGTTTGTATTTGATATAGAAGACACATTTGGCACATGTGGCCGTGACTGTTGGGGCCGCTCTCTCAAACTGCTTAAGCCTAACATAGAAGAATATAAGAAGATTGTAACGTTAGCATCTCACTCTCAATTAACTCGCTACTTTTATAAAGATGGCTTCATGGTGGGTGGTTGGTGAAGGTACACTTCCATACCTGTGTAAATGTACCACTAGATGTTTTCTAATCATTGTATTTGTTGTGTATATGGCAGCCTGTGAGATAAATATACAATTCTTAAGGGACACAATAAATGAATCTTTAATTAGAATGCTTGATGGATTGACATCGTCCATTAAAATCAGAAGTTCAAATTCTAGTCTTTTACTTGTGTGACAGACGCAGAGCTCCACAGTGATGAGGACTTGGAACAGTCTGAAGGAGGCAGTGACCTGGAGGATTCAGAGGGCAGCGTTGCAGAAAGCCACGGTAGGAATAGATTATTTTGAAATTACACTTAATGTAGACTTTTTCTACTTCTCTGAGGAGCCCACTCATGGATCTATTTGATTAAAATTCGCAGCAAATGCATAAGTTTCAAAACTGACACATTATTTAATGACAAGTTGTTTTAACTGGTGCTTCACTGTCAACTTCCACGTTGGGACTCATTCACCTCTTTATTTAGATAATATACGAGTATATATCTATCGCAATAAAAATACACACATTGGCTGCATCGCTAAAAAAGCCACAGGGTAAAAAAAAGTAGTGGCTTACAGTCCGGCAATCTCAATACAACTATGCTGGTAACTTTTAAGAATTTGTTTTAATTCCTAGTTTCTGCAGTGTCAAAGAAGAGATGAAAATGTATATAAATCCACACAGCTATATTGCTCCCAAGTGTAACGGTTCGGGCTGAAGCCCTTCATTAACCCTCCAAGGTCTAGAGTCATTTTGGGGAATTTCCACGCCTGGTTTTCTTTGTGTATAATGGTTCATAAAACAGTCATCTTTTGATGCAGAGTCAAGCAGTATAATTTGTTTTTTTTCAGTACAACCTGGGGTTTTAGAATATTCATATTTTAGAGCTGTAATATCAATTATATAATTATGGAATCATGAAGACAAAGAAAAAATGAAACGGAAAATCAATTTCACAAAATTGTGTTGAAAAAACGCAATGAAATGCTATAAAATTTTTACACTGCATAGAAATGTTATTTAGGGTCTTTGGGATAACGGGGAAAAATGGAACCTGGAACTATTATACTTTTTACAAAATTCCACTATAAACACAAAAATCACTGTACTCCTGATGCCCTTTCTCAAGCAGTTTGTCTATGATGCTGTGGTTGCTTCTGTATCACAGCTGCAAAATACTTAAAACAAAACAAACTAAGACAAAACAAAAAACAAAAAAAACATCTAATTTACATATATAAATGCATTATATACACTATCATTTTACTGTATTTATTATTGACTATTCTCAAAAATGTGGACTCCTCTGGCTAATCTGAGCGCTGCTGCCTATTCAGCAACAACTACACACAGGAGTGAGAGATCCTACTCTCTGACAATCTTTGTGCGAGTCCCCGTCTGAGTAACAAACTTTACAATTGGCTGTGTGCACCGCTCGAAGATCCGATTGGGGGACTGACTTTCATACACACGTAGTTTATCTTCCGTGCATCGCACAGACAAACCAGCCCGTTTTGGAAAGGCTGGAATGTGTACTTTACGGAGAAAAAAAAAAGTAAGTTGCTAGCTTCTACGGTTCGCGAATAAATTGATCACTCGTAAAACATGTGCGCAACCATCGTCGGCAATGGCATCGTCTTTTAAGGGTTAAACATGAGTGCAACAACAACATGATCTCTTACCCAAATAAGCTGGACGTTGGCCCCATGAATATCCACTATACGAGGTGCTGCAACTATTTCAATATTTTTCCTTGGTTCTAGTCACTTTCTATTACTAGAGTTCTATTTGGTAATGCCAGACAGAATAATAATAATTTATATTATTATGACCGTTATTATTACGATATGTAAGTAATCTTTATTTATATAGTGCCTTTCACAGACCAGGGTTACAAGCCCTCAGCATTTGTAGCCTGTAAACGTGTTAATATGAACAGAGCATCTATATTATGTATTAAACTGCTCAACTTCAGTTTTTAGAGCAGCGTCAATTCACTTCTTGTAATATGGCTATGTGCACGGTTGGATTTGGTCAGCCAATGGCAGTTTGAACACAATGTGCCAATTTTCCCTCTCCTTCAAGGGAGACTTAAAACTCATCAAATGTCTGCTTTCAGTTCTGTCACATGTTTGAGAGCTGTAAATTTCTTTGACTTCAAACAGATGGGGATGGTGACGCAGGGAGCGATGAAGATGAGGGTGAAGCAGAGGCTGAGGACGCAGAGCTTGAAGAGGAGACCAGTGCAAATGCCGGCTGGGCTGATGCTATGGCCAAAATCCTTGGTAAAACTACAGCCAACAACCAGAGCACCATCCTCCAGAAGAACAAAGACCTGCAGAAAGTGAAGGAGAAGCAGCGTGAGGAGCAGCTGGAGCACAGGAAACAGGTAACGCCTCCGTGTTGTTGAGGACCAGATGCACACAGTTGTGGACGATCGCTCTACAGCAGGGCTCTACAATATTCCACTAATAACTGGGAAAGGTCCGCAGACAGCATGGATGTGTAATCCCTGGGCCGGCGTTTTCCCTGGTCTGAGTTGTAGAGTCATCATTACAATTTTATGCATGGTGGCTTTGCTACTGGTATCATGAGTAAATTATTAAAATCAATTTATTACATCTGTGTTGATGGCCCATGACACTTGTCTTGCATATGAAACAGTTGGACAAAAAGCGGTCGTGGGAGATGATGTGTCGAGTGAGACCGGACATTGTGAAGGACAAAGAGCCAGAGAAGGCGCTGCAGAGGATCGCTACAAGGTAACACTCTTCTATCGGTAAGGAATCAGAGTAGCATATGTTGTCTGTTTAGTTTAAAACATTTTTTGGGATGAAGCCACATATTATATACGCCTTATGGTATGTTATGATAAGGGTTTTTGATGTCTCATGCTTAAAATCTCATGAGATGATAATAATAATCCTAATATTATTCAACATGGAGCCTTTAATATCACATGGCTAATGGGGCATTGCGGCGACTTTCAATGCAAAGTCAATGGTGACGTGCGCTTGAGCGTGGAATGTGCGTCTCGGGACGTACGCACTGGCCGTGCGGTAGAGGCATGGCAGAGACGCAGGAGCGGAAAATTGATGCACGCAGGAGATAAACATTGCTTAACTTGCAGTGCAGCGACCAATCGGAGAGCCGCTGAGTGGTCACAGGGACATTAGCGGTCTAGCGAGCAGACTGAAAATACTCAAACAGCCAAAACAGGATCTACACCAGGACTAAACCAGGCTTGACATTGGGGGACACAGTGCTTGTGAACTAATGCCTCAAGCCTGAATTCTCATTCTCCAGTGACTGTAAACTACTGTGGAAGTACCGTTTAAACATAAAATAAACATATTAAATGACTTGGTTATTACTTATCCTATATTTATTGTAATGGGTTGAAATGTGTTTCTGATGGCAGAGGAGTGGTGCAGCTGTTCAACGCAGTCAAAAAACACCAGAAAACCATAGACGAGAAAGTGAAAGAGGTGGGCGGGTCGGAACGCAAAAAGGCTAAGATCTTATCGTCTGTGTCAAAGAAAGACTTCATCGACGTATTGAGGAGGAATGAAGAGACAACGCCAGGGAAAACCGTCAAGAAAGAGAGGACGGTGAGTGGATAAGATAAGATGTACTTTATTAATCTCACACAGGAGAAATTTACATGTCACATGGGTGTCTGCCTGTAATGACACTAGCTCTTTCACTTTTGTGCTTGGACAAAGCTGCTCTATGGTTGTATCGGTGGCCATAATTCTGAATACTAATGACAGATGATTTGTGCCAAATTGATACGTACCTTCATACAAAGGCCACAATACTAGTTTACGTAGCTAGATGCAGGGCATTTTTTATTTCGATATAGTATATTGAAGAGTGATTTGTGAAAAAATAAAACCTATTTGTTTCCCAACCGAACCAAAAAATACAATATTATAGCAGGTGATTGTTGAACACCTTCTCAGCCTCATGCTTTTGTAAGATATATATATATTAGGGCTGTCAAAATTATCGCGTTAACGCACGTTAATTAATTTTTTTCATTAATCGCGTTAAAAAAATTAACGCATTTGACGCATGCCCATAATGACACTCAGAATGCCGCGGACACATGCGCGTGTAAGATGGGGACAGAGCAGGTAGACCCTCTGGGAATTGAAGTTTTGAAAGAATACACACGTGACCGTGGGGCACTTGTTGTTTCCTGTAGTAACTCTGCATGATGAGCTGTGGGGCGCGACAGCGCTCTGGACAGCAGCACCACTTCCAGCGGCTGTGATCACGGCGAACGGCGCTGCGTAATGGGATCATATCCAAGACCACGCACAGAACTATTACAGAACTATTCTCTAGTGTGCGTACGTGTCTTTGCGTAACCGATGCACACAATATGTACAGCGCTGAAGCTGGACTGCGGAGCCTCAGTCTCCTCCGTGTCTTCTCCCGAAGCGCACTCGCTAAATTAAAGCTGAGGTTCCTAATTTTCCTTTCGACCATCAGTTCATGTTAGTTGTGCCAAAAAAAGTAATGGTGTGAGCAAATCAAACAGATTTAATGACATTCTGCATTTCTGACTATTTTGAAATGTCCCTCATCTTTAACAAACAATGGTTTTGGTCTGAGTCTAAACAGAAAGACAAAATGTTAATAATGTTACAATAATTGCATTTTATATGGATTTATTGTTATAACAAACATACAGTACAGCTTAGTGAACATATGTATACATATGTTCACTAAGCTGTCATTTATCTTTCCATTTAAACAACAATTTACAGAAAAATATGGCATACTTTTGCCAATAGTTTGAAATGTGATTAATTACGATTAATAAATTTTGAAGCTGTAATTAACTCGATTTAAAAAATGTATCGTTTGACAGCCCTAATATATGTAAGGGATAATGTATAGCCTACAGGTCATTATCGGAAAATAAGTACCGACAGGGCGAAGCGGACCCCGACGTGCAGCGGAGGGGTCTGCTTCCGCCCTGAAGGTACTTATTTTCCGATAATGACCTGTAGGCTATACATTATCCCGCTTATTATACTGCTTTGTACCAACTTAACACGCAAAATAAACTTCAGATCACTTTTATGAATGCCAAAAGTTTATTTAATGACAACAAATAAAGTAGTCCCAAAAAGTTTTCCCGTTGCTCGGCAACCGCGGGCAGGCTTTGACCATTGTGGCTATGCTAGCAACAGTCAGGCTGGCAACTTCCAAATTAGAACTCTCTGGAACTGCATGAAAACTGAACAAAGAATTCTGAACATCAGCGGTGAGTGACCCATACATAAACCTAACCTAAATCCATAATTCGATCCTCTGCAAATGTGTCCGAAAATGTGCCGGTATCTTAAAATGTGCCGGTATCTACTTCCGGGTTTTTCGGGATCGCCTTTTCTCGCATTACATCAGTGTTTTTGTCATGAAAACGTAAACGGAAAATTCTGAAAACTTCCGTGCACTTGTATTAAGACTGGATATGTATAATTCACTCTCCGATAAACATTTCATTGCGTTGATTGATTGGCATTTGCGTTTATTGAGCGGCCAGAACTACTTCCGGGTTTTTCACGATCGCTTTTTGACGCAGAGAAATAGTATTTTTGTCATGAAGACAAGACCAGAAAATTCTGAAAATGTCCGTGCACGTGTGTGAAGAATGTATATGTATAAGTATTCTCCGATTAACATTTAAGTGTGTTGATTGAGCGTGGCTAGCTCAGGAGTGGCCGGAACTACTTGCGGAGTTATCCACGCATTTGAAAGACAAGCAGAGAGTGCGTTGCCATGGGCAGCGGTCATTATTGTTTTGAGAGGTCCGTTATAGAAAATAATGACCGGTAGAACGTTTTAAAATTACATTCAAATCAATGAAGCGTTCTACTGCTGCTGTGAGGAGCCGTATAATAAATATTTTTAAACACATCCCAGGGGGTGTTATAGTGATTAAACATCCATCCATCCATCCATCCATCTTCTTCCCTTTAATCCATTTCTGGGTCAGGGGGGTGGCAGTCAGACATGCCACCCAAGTCTCATAGCACCAGCTCCTCACTGACCCTCTGCAGGTGGTGAGTCCACAGGAGGACGGCTGCTCTCTGAGTGTGAGCATAGCCTTGATCTTTCAGTGGGGGCTTTTGGGCAAAGTGGGGTTAAGTGTCTTGCCCAAGGACACAACAACAGCAGTCATCAGTGGGAGTCGGTGGAGAAGGTGCAGAGGTGGGAATTGAACCCACGACCTTCAGGCCTGAAGGCCAATGCTCTACCAACTGAGCTACTGTCGCCCCAGTGATTAAACAGTGGAGTGTATTTGCTGCGATTCTGCCCTTTGTCCACACGGTGTCACTGTTCCCTCACTAACGGCCTGTTCTCTTCAGGCTGCAGCTTGTGTGAAGCAAGAACAAGAAGCTCCAGCCTGGAGCGTGCTCAGAGAGGACTTTATGTTAGGTGCCTCCATGAAAGACTGGGATAAAGAGAGCGATGAAGATGAGCCTGGCGACACGCCGGTACCGCTGCAAGAGGGCAGCGACTCAGACTGAGACCGGACTAAAGATCTGTGGGGAACTCGGACTCTGAACTTTTTGAGGCTACTGAACCCAGAAAGTATTGCAAGGAACCCTTATTCTCTATTCCTGCTTCACAATAAATAACCAGGTTCTGTTCGGTTTGAGCTGTCATATTTAAGCTTCATAACAAAACAAAGTGACATTTACAGTTGCATTGAAAGTGTTCAAAGATAGTTTACCCTTGTGCCCAATATTTTCACTTTGTACAAGTTTTTTTCAAAACTTTAATTTCTAAGAATTTTTCATATTCATTTAGGAAATTGGAATTTGAAAGATCTTAAACATTGCCATTGGTTGAGGTGATTCAAATGGACATTAAACTGGTAACATTCTGACATGTTTATACATTTTGAGAGTATCTTTAACTTGACTTTTCCTCTTGTTGTTTTGGGCTTTACTGTGCTTTACTGTTAGAAATATACATATCACATTTTTGCTAGCTCCTATTACTCAGGAGGGACCGCAACAAATTTTTACCAGTACCGCTCACAAGAATAAGGTTTGGTACAGCTTGTCTTGTCAGAGTATTTGTGCTGTTCTTTGTAACATGTTGATGCAAATAATGTTAATTCATCTGTAACATTGTATTAAAGATTAAGAAAATAAATGTAGGAAAGAACAGTGGAAATGGTGATTTTCAGGTCAATGGTGAATTCAAGAGAAGATGACTCCAACATCCCTGCACCACCTTAAATTAATTATTTAGGTAGATACTTTGGTAAATGTTGAGCAGGTCTTAAAGGTCCAAAGGTTTTGAACAAACATTTTTTGTGTGAAATAATGGATCATGCTGTATTTTCGATTTCTGGTTTAGAATGTTTTGGTGTAGCCACTTCCCACTGTGTATTGTTCCTCTGCTGCTGCGGTGGTCATTCTGCGCCTGCAAACAACAGGTGCAAACAGCAGGTGGACTTTGGAGCTGTCAGAGATGATCCGTGATGGGATTTATACAAAGTAACAAGTGCGAAACAAAATGTCAGGAATGTAAATGTGTGAACTATAACGACACGGACCAAACCAATCTTCACCGCACCCGGCACGTCCGCTTTTGGGGATAATTTGACCAATTCGGGCGTTCTGCTCTCCCAAAATTCCATCCACTGAGCGGCGCTGTGATCAAAAAATGACACCGTTTGTTGCCCAGTTCACTTCCGGTTGATTTCATACAATGGCGAATATGGCTCACGAAAACAACAAACGATTGACAGTGCCTGAATTGCGTGAAAGGTTGAAGCGAAAGGGTATTTGCAGTGTGGGAAAACGAAAGGAGGAATTGTTGTTGCTAGTTCAACGAGCGGATGGTGTTTATGAAGATTTAGAAGAAGATGACAGCGAGCAGAGTGAACGAAAACGGCTGTGTGTGCGAGTGACAGATGGTAACAATGAGAATGAAGTTCAGCTAAGAGGGAAGAATGTGAATTGGACGGATGATTTGCGCGATATGCCACTAGTTAGAGACGGGAATGTATTTGCATACAGAAAATGACGAAAACACTCAACCATTTAGAGAAAATGCGCCGGGCAGAGAGATCCGGAAGTTGCGAAGGCAAGTGTTACCCATAATGCAACGCAACATTCAGTCGCTCCCCCGCCCATCGGATGGAACTTTGGGAGAGCAGAACGCCCGAATTGTCATGTTAGTCAAACCAATCTCCTTGAACACAGTTTAGTGTAGTAGTATTATCAATACAGGTAAATCTGGAGAATGTTAAAAGTAGTTTTGTTTAATTACTCTGAACAATTTTATTGTTTTGGTCTACTCACTTTTGGCCACTAAAGTTCAAGTTTTTCCAGGGGCTTACAACACAGAATACAAAATAAAAATATACCTATCACAGTCAATGTCTGTGTTTACAAATACATGTTATGGTTTCTGAGCGTTACGACAAGGAACAACAATACTATATTGATATTGTAAGTAATGTTTATTCATATAGCACATTTTACAGACCAAGGTCACCCAAAGCGCTTTACAATGCTCAGAGTTTGGATATTGTTCCAATCATTCCACACACGGTGATGACGGAGGCGAGTTGCCGAACACACTGGCGCATCAGCCCCCTATCAACACCATCCATTCACTCTCTCATTTACATTCATACCTATTTTGCATGTTTTTAGTGATAGGGGAAACTGGAGCACCCGGAGGAAAACTGCGCAGACACGGGGAGAACATGCAAACTCCACTTAGAAAGGCCCTGTTCCGACCGGGATTCGAACCCAGGACTTTCTTGCTGAGAGCGCTATCCACTCAGCCACCGTGCTGCCCTGATGGAGCTGAAGTTGGCTGGATGATACTATGAAAAGGGCTAGTTCGTGTTAGCAAGGCAGAGGGCCACATACAAGGGGCCGCATTTCGCCCGCGGGCCTTACTTTGGACACGACGGCTCTGATCTAAAAGAAATAGGCTGGTTTAAAAATGCATAATACAAACATTGTATTTCATGGTATTGTATTTTATTCCCCATATGAAACGTTTTTGAGTGTCCAAAAATATTAATATTATCGCAACGTTTTCAAAGGTTGGAAAGTTATGCACACCAACTTAAAAAAAAAAAAAGAAACACAACCCACACCATAGCAGTATGATAATGTGGGGTACGGGACCAGGAGGTATATATTTTAGTTTTTTTTTGCATCTTTTTGCAGTGAGGGGTCCGGCATTAAGACCCAGTGGCAACACGCGCACAGTCTAGGAACCCGCGGGACCATTAGCCGCCAGAGCGCAGTCCCAGCGCGCACACAGGCGAACCCCAGCAGCTATACGCGCTCTGCTCTGCTGCCATCTGACACTACCGCGGGTCCTCTCCAATACATAGGGATTTCTCTTTTCCCCAGTTTTCACACACGCAAAGTAAAGACGAACTCTCTACCCTGGATTTATGGGGTGAGGGGCAGAAAAGGAAGGGAGATCTATACCTTTTTCTTCCAACTTCTGAACCTTGGATTTACTGGAAAACGCTGTCACATCACATCACAACGTATACGCCTGACTTCACACATTTTCGACGCCGTTTCTTGGATGTATACGGGATGTATCTCTGGCCCAAGACACTGAGGATTTAGGGACTTTGAATTGAGCGGCTTTTCTTCTTTTCTCATGCGGTGGAGGAGTCGCTTTTCCCGCAGGACGCTCGGACCCCAGCATCGCTCGGATCCTCCGCGCAAAACGCTTTTACGCATCGATCGACCACGCGACTGTTGGGAATAATATTTCACGAAGTTTGGATTTACTTTTTCCCTACGCGTTTATGGAATTTCAGCATCGTTTTTAACCGTGTTTTGAACGTGGAGGGTGTTTTTTGGCGTGGGATGCTGATAAGAACTTCCACTCAGGGTTGAAAAGAAAACAGGTGGGATGTCACTTTGTTTGTAAACTGTTGGTGGAATCTTGGTCAGTTTTTCCAGTGTGGAATGTAGGGCTTAAACTAACGTGTATTATAGATTATTTTGTGTGTGTGTGTGTAGCGGATAGTTTTCTGAATAATGGATTAACTATAGTGTGGGAGTATAATGCACTGGCTCTAAAGTGCACACAATCACTGTGTTCTTAAGCAAGACACTTCACCCACATTGTCTGGTTAGTATGAATCGAGTGTGTGAAAATCATAAACGTTGCGTCCGTCAGTCTGCTCCAGGGCAGCTGTGGCTACCACTGAAGCTGTGCAGAGTGATGTATATTAGCCTACCATGGGTCATGAGAATTCATGGCTGAGTGATAAAGTGCTTCAACATTACAGATGACTTATATATACTTACTTCAGGTGCCAGAAAAACAATGCATTGTTCAACTGAGCCTATTGTGAGTGTGATTCATGTAATCAGCAATCCCCATGGCTCATGATTGTCTCAAACAATGTGCTCATATGTTTACTTGTCCTGGCACTGCTTTCAGAGAATAGGAATGATCAAAGACAAAAGTTATGGTTAAATGGCAACGTTTTACCTTTATCAGTAATCCTTACAAAGGCAACTATAATGAATATAAAGTAACTTTAGGCTCACATTTTGACACAAACCTGTTTTGTCACGGTCCTTGACAACAACAAAGAAAATATAAATGATGCTACAGTAAACATGAATCTCCAGGATGTACCTCATGTACACAGACGCACACACAAACATATACAAATACACAATTTGGGTGACGTGTCTTGCCTAAGGACACACCAGACACAGTTCAGCCTTTTAGAGCCGCTGCCTCCCCACTGTGGCACCTGGTGTTCCTAGTGTTCTTCTGTCACAGTATCTGTCCTGCTTACTTTCTGAGACTTCATTGTGTCTTTTTCATGAAGATATGGCCACAATGATTATAAATATTCCAGAAATTCTCAGGCTCATTGACAGAATTCTGGTAGTCCTGGGAGATGCAATGGATGAGCACTTTGACAACCTTGTTAACAGCCCTGATTTATGTTGGAAATGTCCAAACTTTGGCCCCGGACTGTGTAATTATTGGTGCCCTAATAATTGAGATAACTCAACCTGTCTCTAGTCTGTTCACACACACTTTGTCCCTGATTTGTGAAAATTATTGTTCATTAAAACACTGAATTTTTCTGCTATTATTAAAACAGATTCAATTTCAATTACAATAAAAATTATAATCAATTTTAATAAATGGATATGTTATCAAATTATTTAGGATATGACCATATTAATCCTATTCCGTTACTTTGGTGATGCTGTTCTGTGAGTTTAGACTATCCAACCACATCACAAACCCTGCAATAATAAAAATAATGAAGTGACCTCCATGGACCCTTTGCAAGTGTTCATAAAACTTTGTAATACCTGCTTGCCTTTTCTGAATGTTTAAATCTGTCAACAGACTCTTTAGCGTCCGTTGGAGGGAGGAGTTCTTCACTTGCACTTAAACGGAGCCTTTGGTGTTTTTTACGCACCGTGGCACAGCCTCAGCTCCTTGGCTCCGCTTGTCCCGCGCCCCTGGCTTGGATAAAAAGTGTCCGATTGCAGCACATTCTCGCCGCATGTTGTAATATTTTGCTATGGCCTCTGTTCCACCGCTGGAATATTTCATCTGTGGGTCTGGACTGACACAAAGGGAGCAACCAGTGTGTCATTACGCGGCTTTTAGTGAAGGGCAGGAGATCGACGAGCTTCAGCTGGAGTGATGGGCTTGAAAAGGAGGACATTTGGAACTAATGTCAGAATGAGATTATCGTTCTAAGGTTTAGTGTGTGCTATAATGAAGAAATATTAGCTTTTGTTAATTTAATCATAGAAAAGAATCATTTTGTTTTATTCATACATCACTACCATCTGCTATCAGTGAAATTACTGTACATCCTCCAATCTAGACACTAAACTTGTAATTGACATTGACACTTGACATTCTCAGATTGGACTGTAGAGAGACAAGGTGGCTAAAATCATCCAAAGAAAGGATCTATGATGAGTTGCCCAGTGCTCTTTGAACCCAACCCTCATGGAACCTGTGGCATGGGGTAAATGGACAGAGTATTACAGTGTTTATCAAAATCCAAAGATCATTGGCCTCAGGATCATTTTCATCCTTGAGAATTCAGTGCAACGATTCAATACGATAACCACAATACTGAAATGTTGCTCTTTACCACAAGCGGTCAAAGCAATCACTGCTACCATGCCATTGTAATCACGCTATTGCTAAACTACAAATCACTGCTGTTTACCTAAACACAGAAACTATGCAAAAACAACCACACATCATGAGCTGGAACCTGGAGACCTGAAGGAGAGAGCGAAAGGGGAGGACGGTCTGGTGCTGTTAGAGCAGTGTGATTGATCAAACAGGTCTCCATGCTTCAAACTCAGAGCCTGACAAGCCAGAAAACTCCCAAAGAAGGGCGTGGCCTACCAGGATATCAGACTCCACCCATACAGACTGCTGTTTCAGACTCTGCTGAAACTATAAAGAATTGTAAAAGTATTGAACTAGTGGATATTCCTGGTCCACAAGTCACGTAAACGCAAGATTTTTGCTGTTTGCTTTATTGCAGTGTTCCCCAACCTTTTTGAGCGGTGGCACAGCTTTGGTTGGTCTTGGTTAACTATGAAAAATCATTATCATCAAAGTGTATTGAATAGTCAAACATGCACAGAGAAAAAAAGTATTTGTATTCTGCTCACACTATCTTCTTCCAATGTTTTATTTTAGTTTAGGTAATAATATATTTCCAAAAGCAATCTCAAGGCAGACTAACATGCCATGGCTCACTGGTTGAAAAACACTGCTTTATACATCACAAATGTGCCAAGGCAAACCATTTTATTTTATTTTTTAAATACAACATGGCCATAAACCATTCTTATGTTGTTTAAAAGTGAATGGCTCCTTCACAAAGTTATAACATGCTGTCTTAAAGGCATTAATAAAATAGTTCACTTGACTTGAGATAATGACCTTGACGTTCACTTGCATCAGCCAGTTTATTCTCACTTTGTGGACACCATCTGAAAATGCACCATTAGGATTTGTTTATTCCATGGTTATCCTGCTGGACTCTGCTCTCTGTCCCAGACTCTGATTCTCTGTCCCAGACTCTGATTCTCTGTCCTGGACTCTGATTCTCTGTCCTGGACTCTGCTCTCTGTCCCAGACTCTGATTCTCTGTCCCAGACTCTGATTCTCTGTCCTGGACTCTGATTCTCTGTCCCAGACTCTGATTCTCTGTCCCAGACTCTGATATTCTGTCCTGGACTCTGATTCTCTGTCCCAGACTCTGATTCTCTGTCCTGGACTCTGATTCTCTGTCCTGGACTCTGATTCTCTGTCCCAGACTCTGATTCTCTGTCCTGGACTCTGATTCTCTGTCCCAGACTCTGATTCTCTGTCCTGGGCTCTGATTCTCTGTCCTGGACTCTGATTCTCTGTCCCAGACTCTGATTCTCTGTCCTGGACTCTGATTCTCTGTCCCAGACTCTGATTCTCTGTCCTGGACTCTGATTCTCTGTCCTGGACTCTGATTCTCTGTCCTGGACTCTGATTCTCTGTCCTGGACTCTGCTCTCTGTCCGGACTCTGGTCTCTGTCCTGAACTCAGTGCTGGTCTCTGTTAAGGTTCCACAGTCCGCCTACCGGATAGCTCTCGTCTGCTCCATGCTTGCGATGAAACCAAAGTCAATTTTATATTGTAGAGTTAGGAAAGTGTGTGTCTAATTCTGCACAGTGGCACACAGTGGTTAGCGCTTTTGCTTTGAAGAAAGAAGGTCCAGAGTTTGATTCCACTTTCAGGTCTTTCTTTCAAATGTACATGCTAGTTTCATGTTCTAAAAAAAAATGTATTGGGATGACTGCACACCTGACTCAGTGACAGAAATGTTTGAAAGTGTAACAGTATTGGAGGTCAAAATCATAATTTTGACGTTTGTTTTTGTGTCTCCTCCATCACAGAGAAGATGAACCCGAGCCTCCACTTGGTCCTGTTGGTCCTGGACCTGTTGGCTCTGTCCGCCGCCCTCTCCACCTGCAGCACTCTGGACATGGACGATTTTAGGAAGAAGCGCATAAAGGCCATTGGCGGTCAGATCCTGAGCAAACTGAAGCTGAGCCAACCCCCGGAGGAGTACCCTGAGCCCGATGAAGTGTCCAGAGACGTGGTGGCCATTTACAATAGCACCCGCGACCTGCTCCTGGAGAAAGCCAACGAGCGAGCGGCCACTTGCGAGAGGCAGCGCAGCGAGGAGGAGTACTACGCCAAGGAAGTGCACAAGATTGACATGCAGCCCTTCTACCCCGCCGAGAGTGAGTAACTGACATGGATCTTTGATGATAACTGGATAGGGTATTATTAGCTTATAGCTGAAACATGCACGAGCTCGGGGGATTCCCATGGTACTGCAGACTAACTAAGACTACATTTTCTCCATAGAACTCCATGTAAACTAAAACAGCTCAACCTCAGCTGACAGAGAACCTAAAGCTTTCATAAAGGTCGGATTTTGGTCATCCATTGGTTTTCTGTAAATCCACACTTTAGTGCAACAAACTCTGCTCGTTTTCTTCTCGCTCTAGCTCCGCTCTGATCAGCAGTGAGCTGATTGGTCAGAACACTGCAGTGCCCCTCTGTGCACGTGCATGAGAGCCACACACGCGTGCTTGTTAGTATTTGGCAAAAAGCTTCATGGGAGGTCGTCCACTGCGCAGAACCGGGAGGACTAGACGCTTGCCCAAATAGGTCCAAGTTCCGCTAATCTTTTAGCGGAACTTGGAATATTTATTGAATATTCAATTAAATGTAGTGAAGAAGAGTGCACTGACCACTATATTGGAGAAACTAAACAAACTCTACAGAAACGACTTTACCAACATCGTAGAGAAAACTCTAGTGGGCCACAGTCGGCTGTTCATCTCCACCTCAAGGCCTCCAATCACACGGTGGATGACACCGTGTGGTTCTACATCAAAACAGACCTTAGATTGTTTATGAGTTAGTATCAGGATTAGGTTATAAATCTCCAACGCGCGGTCTGAGAATTCATTCCCTGAAGAAGTCCTTTGGATTGAGGACGAAAAGTTGGGAAAACTTGCTAAGAAGTACAGATGATGGGTGAGAAACCTTCCTTTGCTATAACTTTGCGTTGTTTCAAATGTATTGTATGCGTGAGTATTATAACAATAGAGGAGTCTTTTCAAACCCCTTCAGCAGCCAATCAGCTCTCAGCCCAAAGTGTTGTATAGTGACTCACACGGCTCTTCTTTACGTCTATAAAACATATATTTAGATGAAAACAATATGTAGCTGACTATGTTTACATTTTATGGAGGGAGGTTGCAGGAGACCAAATATAACCAAAGATGTTAACTTGGAATCAGAACACATGTGCTCACAGCCTTATCTGTGGTGGTAATCACAGCAGTAGTGGTAATGGTGGTTGTAGTAAATATAATAGTGGTAATAATTGAAGTAAAACCAGCATTCATAATAATAAAGAATGTACTCTAAGTCCTCTACATGCTCTCAGAGACATCGACTGGGCCATTTCTACTGTTGTGTTTTTTGGTCATTGAGATGATCATCATGAGAGCAGACACTCGCTTCCTGGGGTCAAAATGTAATGTATTAAATTATAAAAATATGTACATTACTGTTACAAAGAACTAAGTTTATAGAATTTGTTCATGCAATAACGAGCTCATGCATTCATTTCACACAAATTACAAGGGATGCACCAATACCAATACTAGCATTTGGTATCGGATCGATACCATAGGCTTGTACTCGTACTCATACCATAGGACCCGATCCGGGCAACCGATACCCACATTTCTATTTGACTTCAGCATCACGACAGCAGACAGCTGTGCAGCACGTGTTGCCATAGTGATGTCTCGAAGTCGGCAGCAAGAAAGCAAAATCGCGGCAAGCGGACGGGATGTCAGCCATAGGGCAGTCTTTTTAAGTAAACGAGAGTGACAAGAGTAAAGCGGACTGTACAAAGGCAAAATGTCACTCGGTGGGTCCAAATCAAACACGTATAAAAAAAAACAACTTGATCATAATTTCAAAACTCATCTGGTTTTCATTGCTCTGCATCAATATCCTAAATTAATCTATTTCTTGAGTATTTTTATGTTGTGTTTATATGAACTGTGTTTTTAAGAACTACCAGAGATATGTTTTACTTTCTGTAATTCAAAAAGGGCATATTACTCAAAACCACCTTTTAAGCAACCATGTAATAACTGTCTGCTGCTATTTATCCACTCAACCTGGTGTTTAGAGGAATACATGTTCCTGAAGACAATCCACATTTTGCCATCACTGGTTCACACCCACAGTTATATTCATTTCTTTATGTTGCTGCAGCGTCCCTGAGACATTTTGGCACACAAATTTTAAGTCCTCTGAAGACCTGGCGGACATCAACATGGTTTTCTTTTGTTTACTACATTATTAATGATTAATATTGAATTAACTGACAACTGTCTTGAAGTGAAGGGGGGATGCAGAGGAGCAGTTAGAAGAGTCGATCCCGGAGAAACAGTGGCCCAGTTTGTTTAGAGCAGCAGCGTGACGCCTGTGCTCACACTGAAGTCACCAATGTTTGTCCTTGTTTTGGAAATTCCATCCCATCATGCCCTGCTCCACACAGCGACTGGGCCCAGAAGGAAATGGGAAACTCAGGCACCTCTTAGCAACTCTAGCTTTTTATACTTTTATATACAGACTTTTATTTACACCTTTCTTCTTAAGAGGTATAATTATACACTTTATTATTATGTACTTATCAACAATTTTATTTTAAGAGTCCCTCGAAAATAATTCGAATCAGAGTGCCTTCGACCTATATTACACACACTCCCTACTTTTTGTCTTTTTCAGATTTTTTGGGATTTCATTTTTTACATGATGTTATATGTAATAATTGTGGATTTTTATAGACTTTAATTATATATAAGATAAGATATATATGACATAAAACACAATATGTCTTTTTTTTTTTAATTAAGACAAATCAAGTAAAGCATGTTAGAACAAGAAATAAGAATTAAAAGAATGATAATGATCATAATAAAAGCTGGCTGAACACATTACGGGGTCCTTGCTGAATGTGAGGATCCCAGTAACTGTAAAAACCATTAATCGAAGGCTGGGGGATTTTCCACTCTTCCCACTCACAAAACAAAACATTAGCTTGAGAAATGTGCTGATCTGTCCCATTCATTTCTCTGCACATAATAAGAAAGCGCAGGGTTAGCATTAGCAACGTGCTAAATCAAACTTGAAAGTGCAGCCGCCCGGTCGTGAACTCTGCTGAAGACAAATATCTTGTTAATATCAGACAGACACATCCGTAATAACTCCTCTATCGCCTTCTTCTCTTCATCCTCATTTATTCAATTCGATATAGGGTTAACTTTGCCAACTGCTTGTGGAGATGATACTTCATCTGGAATCTTTCACCGGATGGCATTCAACTCTCATTCCTTTTTAATCAAAAATATGTCTTTATGGTTCTTGGGATAGAATACTTTGAAAATGCATAATTAGTATTATCATGGTTATGATTATGATCATATTATTATTCAAAGAAAAAACAATATGTCTTTAAAATTGTATTTGTTGAGACTGCATCAGGTAAAAAGTGAAATAATAAATTATATTTTTAACCAATAATGGCCACTCAATATTTGTTTTTTCTTTCGTCAAAACATCATTCCCAAAATAATCGTTTTCAAGTTTGATGTTTGTGATGAAACCGTGGACACAGATCTGTGCTGTTTTTGGCCTCCGCTTCAGATATGAATAAAACTGTGGAGCCAAGTGGACTCAACCAGGCATTCACAGGTTATAAATAATACCAAGGCATCTACGGCGGGTGCAAAGGGACAAACCTGTCTTGAGCTTTTTCTTATATTGGTTTAAGGGAGTAATGTTTGTTTTTTGCCACAGATTTCCGTCAGGGAAGTGGTAAAGAATGCACCTTGAAAAGTGATGTCCAGTGCTGGTCACTATAAGACAATATGGACCATGTTTTAGAGGTTAATTTAGTCCTTTATGTCATTATTTGTGGACATAAAAGCAGGAAACAACAGACAATAGTCACAATACTGCAGAGGTGTGGACTCGAGTCATGTGACTTGGACTCGAGTCAGACTCGAGTCATGATTTTGATGACTTTAGACTCGACTTGACCAAATATAAAAAGACTTGCAACTCGACTTGGACTTTAACATCAATGACTCTGACTTTCACTTGGACTTGCGCCAATTGACTTGTAAAGACTTGCGTAACCCGGGCCATTTTTACCTTTCTCCGCATCTCTCTTTCTATCTATGCCGTCTCTGAAGAAACTATGCCTCGCGGTAGTTGTAGCGCTCGCGCGAGAGTTCGAACGTGAGTTCCCCGCACAGCCCGCAGTTCGCGCAGCAACACTTCCCTAAACAAGCGGACTGCATTCACCGGTGGGTGTGTTGTCTAGGGGAGCTGGAAATGAGCGAGCTGCAGGTATTTATCGCGACCTAACGTCATACTTTGTTCTACAAACCGTAATTGATATGCTTTCACTACAGGCGCCTCATACAATTGAATCGACGCAGTTGTCACACTCTGTGCCGTGTTTTAAAGAGGAACTGGTGAGTCAAACTAGCGCTAGCCTGCGCTGCTCTGTTAGCTATTTCTTATATTTTTCTGTGTGGGCGCCGAGGCCTATTATTATGAGTATGTTTTTGCTGTGCTCCTCCTGCTAAAGTTTGCATACATTAGATAGTTGTTTTGATTATGTGCACTAAGCTAGATTAATATTTGCACTATTGTTTATGGTGCATTTATAAGAGAATCAGTGCTTTGACTGATTGAATTAATTTATATGAGACATTTTATTATGTAATGATATATTGGTAATTATGAGATATTGCTAATGCTGGTCCAGTTGATGGCGAGCTGCCCCAGGTCCAAAGCCTAGACCCCTCATACTACCCCTATTCTACAGTAGGACATTTGGAACAATAACCACTACGGACATTAAACTGATTATATAGATACAGGTCCTAGCCCAATACTCATATTCATATATGCTGCACTTGCTACTTCCCATTAAAAACCCCAAAGATAAAAAGTATGTTGACACGGACTGCTCTGATTTTATGTGTGGTCTGTGCATGTGTAACTGAGCCTGCATCTGGCACAACATAGTTTTGATTTACCAGCAGCCAACGACATGGAACAAACTGTTAGTCCATGGGTCAGAGACCAACGAGAATGCACCAGCAAAACGATTCCTAAGTACGTGGAGACCAAC